AACCATAGACTCAACCACCTCTTTCCTTCTTCCCTCAGAACACCATACCTATAGCTTTATGAATAACCTAGCCACCTCTTTTCCTTCTTCCCTCAAAACACCACGTATTCCTTCGAAGCCAAATTCCCCACAAAATAGCGAGAAAAATATTCCACCAATGGGGATCCTTATGGTGCAACCTGATAGAGCCACACCATTCACCAAAAGACAAGCCATCAAACTTTCCACCTCTAAACGTAAAAGGGAAAAGTACCAGATACGTTTAACATCAACACAAGACACCAACATGTGAAGGATACTTTCATTTTCAACACCACACATCGGACAAATAGGGTCGAGACTCATACCTCTTTGCAGCAAGCTTTGCCGAGCAACCACAACACCCTTGATGGCCTTCCAAGAAATTTTTTTTTACCTTGGGAGGGATATCAGCATTCCAAACAACACCCCACTTGAAATTACAGACAACAATTGAAGTGGTTGCTGTATCATTTTTTTCATCCATTGTGAGCAAATTGTAAGCAATTTTCATCGAATAACCCCCATCCTTTGTGAAATGCCACACCCAAGAATCACTTCTAGCATGAAGAGGGACATGAATATTGCATATTTCAATCACTTCCACAGAGGAAAAAATTTCATTTAGAGAAGCAACATCCCAAGAGTTGTTTACCCACATGTCTCGAATAAACATAGGCACACCATCACCTTCTCTCGGGCTTGATGAGACCTTAAAATGTGGGAACCCATGGATCATTCCAAATATGGACAGAAGATCCATTTCCCGTAGCCTTTCTAGCACCTCTCCAAAGAACATCTCAAGCCCCCATGATCGACCTCCAAGTATAACTCGAATTTGAGTACCCTTTTGCCTCTATTAGAGAAGAGTGAGGAAAATATTTTCCTTTAAGGACTCTAGCCACTAAAGAACCTTCATTTGTCAAGATTCGCCAAGCTTGCTTACCAAGGAGAGCTTTGTTGAAATTCCTCATGTTTCGAAAACCAAGACCTTCTTTTCTTCCCCCTTTTGACCCCAAAAAAACTAACGACATAATTTCTCAATCACATCAAGAATGCTCGTCAGGATTGAGAAACATTGCATTGCATACGTTGGGATTGCCTGATCTATTGACTTTATCAACACTTCTCGACCAACTTAAGATAGAAAGTTACCTTTCCACCCCTTCAGTTTCTTCCAGATACGATCCTGAATATTGTGGAACACTTGTTTCTTGGAACTACCAATGTAAGTTGGCAAACCAAGATATTTTTCATGTCCTTCGAAAGCCTTAAAAGACAACTTCAACTGAAGCATATTCTTCCGTTAGTTCTTGCTCAATGTTTCAGCTAAAAGACACTTCCGATTTTTCCATATTCAGTTTCTGACCCGAAGCTACCTCATAAGTGGAGAGAATTCCCAACACACTATCCACCTCCTCCTCCGTCGCACGAACAAAAAGGAGACTATCAACTGCGAAAAAAAGGCGAGAAATTGGGGTGACATGTCTTCCAATTCTTACCGCATGAATAACCTTCTTCTTCTCCGCATCTCTCAGAAGGGTTGAAAGCCCCTCAGCACACATAATAAACAGAAAAGGTGAAAGAGGATCACCTTGCCTTAGTCCCCTGGTCGGCTTAAAGTTCCTTGATGGTTTCCCATTAACTAAGACATCAAAAGCAGTAGTACTCACACATTTCATGATCAAAGACACGGAAGTTTTCGGCAAACCCAATTTTAACATCATTTTCTCCAAGAAGGCCCATTCAACTCTGTCATAAGCCTTACTCATATCAAGCTTGAGGCCGAGAAAGCCTTTCTTTCCTTTTTTTCTTCTTCTTGAGATAGTGAAAGCACTCATACACGACCAAAATGTTATCTGTGATCAGCCTCCTAGGAACAAAACCACTCTGCGACTCATGAATAATGAAAGGAAGTACTAACTTGAGACGATTAGCTAGTAATTTAGTGACAATTTTGTATAGAACATTACATAAACTACTACGTCTATAATCAACAAGAGACTCACATAATTTTTTTTTTTCGGGATTAACACGATATGATTCTGATTAATAGCACTATATCACCATCATTATTCAAAATATTCAACACTTTCTCAATTATGTCAACACCCACAATATCCCAAAATGTTTGGAAAAAAATTGCGGACATACCATCGGGCCCGGGGGCCTTCATCGGGTGCATCTGAAAAAGCACTGAGCGCACTTCCTCGGCATTCAATGGGGCTGCCAGGCTGCTATGTTGTCGATCAGAGATGACTTTCTCTACTTCCTCAATGATAGGTTCTGGCTCAATGTGACTATTTCCAGCAGATAGATCTTTCGTTCTACACGCTGCTTTGTCTTCGTGTGAAAGAAGGTGGTATTTTTATCGCCATGTTGCAACCAATCTTGCCTGCTTCTCTGCTTCCAATACATCTCCTCCCTTATCTCAATCTCATCCATCCTATCATCTATCTCTTTCATTTGGGCAACGACTTCATCAGTTTGAGTTTCCTCTATTAATTTCTCCATTTGCCCCTTACAAGCCTGTAATTCTTTAATAAAGTCACCAAATTTCTCTCGACTCCAAGCACTCAAGCTAGTTGAAGTGAAAGCAATTTTTGAGCAAAGATCACCTCCTCTTTCCCAAGCTTCGGAAACAATGTTAGCACAATTTTTGTCTCGGAGCCACATTTCCTCAAACCGATACAACTTTTTTTTCTTCTTTTTCTTTGGGGTATTCAAGGTCTCTTTAATACGTAAAAGGATCGGAAGATGATCTGATTTTCTTTTGGAAAGGTGTGAAACAAAGGAGCCCGGAAAACAGTCTCTCCATTCTCGGTTTGCAATGAAACGATCGAGGCATTCTTGAATATTCCACTCCCCCTCTATTATTCTACCAAGTGTAGTTATGCCCTATGTAACCAAGATCCTCAAGTTGGCAGAAATTAACAGCTTCACGAAGAATATCCGCTTCCTCATCACAAAAATCATGACCCCCAAGCTTCTCACAAGACTGCAACATGAGGTTTAGGTCACCACCACATAGCCATGGACCTCCCTGAGCTGCACCTAAACTTCTAAGAAGCTGCCACGTTTTAAATTTATTTTCCTCTTCCGGAAAACCATAAATGCCCGAGAACCTCCATCTCCCCTGCTGGTCCGAATTTATCTCCACATCAATGTGGTTTTGAGAATAAGAATGCACCACAACGTCCAAAAATCTCTTCCACATCAACGCCAATCCTCCTTTTCTCCTCCTTCCTTCACCTTCACACTCAACTACAAAAGCACAATCGAACTTTGTTTTCTGTTTTACTTTTTCGAACCCAAAAGCTTTCAAGCGAGTTTCCGATAAAAACACCATTTGGGGCCATTCAAGGAAAATAATCCTTTTCAGAGCATTAAACACAGGAGTACCCCCCAACCCCTGCAGTTCCATGAGATAATGTAGCTCATTATTCACCGAGAGCCCTTTGGGTGGGGCCCGCCACACAAAAATCAGTCATTGCAGCAACTCTCTTCTTATTTCTCTCCTCATTTTCAAGCACCTTATCACTACTCCCAGAGTTCAAACATTCAACAACTTTTCTTTTTTCCCCCGAGATGTTCACATTACCCTCCATACTATGATCAACATCTCTCAAAAAACGCTTCCAATTCTTCTTATAGTGGATCCCTTTAGAGCTATTACTTTCTTCACCCTCACCCTGCTTTTTCCCCCCTATCTCCTCTACACTCTTGAAAATAAAAAACTCTACTCCCTGTTTACTTTGATTTTTTCTTTCTCCTTCCCCTACGCTACTCAAACTCACTTCACCTAGTTTGTCTAGCACCTCCTCCACTTGAGCAGCAACAATAGGCTTCGGAACTACATTCTTTTTAGGCTTAGTAATAAACAGTCTTTGCACAATTACCTCATTTCTCCCCACTAACATCCACATCTCCTACCTTATACTTCCATGGTGAAGCCTTTAACCACGAGCCATAAGGAAGGGCTGACTTGTCATGCTCCTTATACTCCTCATAGTCCTTCAATCCATGCCCCATCATTCCACAAAAAAAACAAAAGAGAGGTGGTTTTTCATACTTCACCTCAAAAGCTTCTTCAATTCCACTTCTCAATTTAGCCTCACTTGTTTAAATAAAGGCTTACAAACATCCACTAGAGCACGAATCCTAATGGACTTGTCAATCCCCACCTTCGCAGCCTCGTCTAATTTAACAAAAATCCCAATTTTATTACCAATCTTCTCAACATTAGCAAGGTTTAATCTTCCATTTAGGGGAAGGTTGTAAACCCTAATCCACATTGGTAATGGAACACTTCGATATCCGAAGGCTTCACTAAGTCAATGGTTTCTCCAAGGATCAAAGTGTGTCGGTCGAAGTGCCAGGGCTGCTCTTGTAGAACACGTTGCTTGTCCCTCGGAGAAGAAAGCGATTTTTTCCAATATTTGAGATATCCACTCCATGTTTAGGTTGCCAAACTCCCTTCATTGTTGCAACGAAAGCATTGACATTTATATTACGATTAGTCCAGATATTACCTACAAGAGCCAATTTAATATGAGTATCGTCATCGTTTTCTCCTGTGTCATCCAATCAATTGCGTCATTGGGATCCTCTGTTTCTTCGGTTGATTTTTTTTATTATTATCTCCGCTATCCTTTTCCACCAGCAATAGGGTTTTGTTTGTCTCCGCCATTGGAAAAAGATGAAGCTTTCAATCAATACTTCTAAGAACTCAGAACGATTAATGGAATCTCGATTAAAATCGGGAAGAAACCTTGAAAAAGACAAGGAAACCCTAGCCAAAGAAACTAGAACGCAACCCTCCCAAGGAAAACCTAGAGGGAAACTAATTTTACTTTAATTATAGTTATAGATAGATAGATAGATAGATTACTTATTCCATACTTCGTATAATATAATTTAGGAAAATTTACTAATCTAGTTATCCTATCAAGACTAAAATGAAATGATAAATAAAATACCTAAAATTCCAAAATCAGAAAGGTGGTTGGCACTAAATAAAATCGATTCCCCTACTCGCGTTCACCTCGTTCTCCCTGAATTCGATCTGGTTCATCTTCCCTCTTCTTTCTCTCTCCTCTTCAACAATGGCGCTTCTCCACCGAGTCAACAACTCCAAATCTCTCTCCTCCCTTCTCCGCCCCTTAACCTCCGCCACCCACCACCGTCTCTTCTCCTCCGATTCCTCCAAAACCCTAACAATTGAAACCAGCATCCCTTTCAAATCCCACATCATCGAACCCCCTTCTCGCTCCGTCGATACGACGCCGTCTGAACTCATGGACTACTTCCGTAGCATGGCCCTTATGCGGCGAATGGAAATCGCCTCCGATTCCCTCTACAAAGCCAAGCTTATTCGAGGGTTTTGCCATCTTTACGACGGTCAAGAAGCCGTCGCTGTTGGTATGGAGGCCGCCATTACTAAAAAGGATAATATAATCACCGCGTATCGTGATCATTGTATTTATCTTTCGAGAGGTGGTTCGCTCGTTAGCGCTTTCGCCGAATTGATGGGGAGACAAGATGGGTGTTCAAGGGGTAAAGGTGGGTCGATGCATTTTTATAAGAAGGATTCGGGTTTTTACGGCGGTCACGGGATTGTTGGTGCTCAGGTTCCGTTGGGTGTTGGGCTTGCTTTTGCTCAGAAGTATAATAAGGAAGATACTGTAAGTTTTGCTTTGTATGGTGATGGTGCTGCTAATCAAGGACAATTGTTTGAGGCTTTGAATATGGCTGCGCTTTGGGATCTGCCTGCTATTTTGGTTTGTGAAAATAATCATTGTAAGTCAATTTTGTTTCATTGATTTTATAATTGTGTGTGTGTGTGTGTGTGTTTTTTGTTCCTTTTCTTGATTTGGGTTTTTTGATAATTTAATTGAGTTTTAGGTGCGTTGTGTGTGTCTGAATTGGTGTGCTTAATTGCTGCAATTTATGGTTTTGTTTGATGTTTTGATTTTGTGTGAATTTGGATATGATATTTGGGAATTTTGAAAGAGACGAGATCTTGGATGATGGTTTGTATTGTAATTGAGACAAAGATTAGATCTTTCAATGTGTTCTACACTCTCAGTAGCTAAATAGGGTGATACTTATATGTATACCAAGAAATGAAAACAAAACCTTATCCTTTATTATTGCAGTGTTTGATTAAAAATTGGAGTATGCACTTTAGTTTATGTTAAAGATCACCCGTGGCTCCCTGCCCTGTGAATCAAGGTGGCTGCAACCTACAACGAGCCAGGATAGAACACTAGGATGTGACTTTGTCTGTTGGAGCAAATAAGTGAAAACAGTATTATATGTCATCTTTGGTTGTGTAAATTTTATGTAGTCTTGTGTTATGACTTGTATGAAATTATCCCCACCCTATAACTACGACTCTATGAGGCTATGCCTAGTTAATAGTTGTTTTCGTGGGGATTATAATCAGCTTTATAAATTCTACTTCCTCAGATTTTTTTAGTTGACACGTTTGAACTTTTGACACTATTCACATATACTACTTTGACTAGCTTTTGTGATTTATAGTTACGGTTAAACATAGTCAAGTGGGGACTTGTTAAAACCGTCTCAAAATTAGAGATATTAATCATTGAAGTAGTGCGTTGACAAACTTGAATAAAGAAATGTGTGAACTAAAAAAAATGAAGCATATAGTCTTGTTTTGGGTATTTGCTAATTTGGTTGGTTTATAGGTGTGTTATGTTTCTGTGCATTGCTGCAATTTGTGGTTGTGTCGGATGATTTGATTCCGTATGATTTTGCTTATGATATGTGGGAATTTCGAAAGAAATGAGATCTTGGATGCTGGTTTGTATTGTAATTGAGGCAAAGGATTACATCTTTCAATGTGTTCTATGCTGTAAGTAGCTAGATAAGATTAATTCGTAATTTATACCAAAAAAAAAAAGACTTCTTTTTTCATTGACGGTATTTTGGTTAAAAATTAGAGTCAATGGAGTCTGCACTCTAGTTTATCTTAAAGATCCCTAGCGATTCCCTGCCCCATGAATTCAGGTAAGCTGCAACCTTCAACGAGCTGGGACAGAGAAATCTTAGTTCATTGGACACCAGGATGCAAACGCGTTTGTTGGAAAAATGAAGTGAATAACAGGATTCAATTTCATCATGTGTTGTGTAAATTATTTAGTCTTGTATTAAGACTTGTATGGGGAATTAACACACACTACAACTACAAGTCTATGCCTAGTAAATCAAAGAGAATTGTTTTGGTAGAAATTATAATTACCTTTATAATGCTCTAATTCGGGGTATTTGTTTTAAATCTTGTTGTATTGTGTTGTGTTGTGTTGTATTGTATTTGCGGTTCTAGTAATGTTTAGCTTATTGGGTTTCAAATGCTATGCCTAGTGATTTTACTTAGCTCATGGTTTGTACTTGCTTTAGATGGTATGGGAACTGCAGAATGGAGGGCGGCAAAGAGCCCAGCTTATTACAAACGTGGAGATTATGTTCCTGGATTAAAGGTTTGATATGAATTAGATTTGCGTTTCTGGTTGATTGGCATTTGTGTTCTCGACGTGTTCATAATGGAGGCTATTGGTAGAATTTGGTGGTCTGGCACACAGTTTAGTGATGTTATCGTCTTATAATATTCTTGTGGAACATTTCTGTTGCAGGTTGACGGTATGGATGTATTGGCTGTGAAACAAGCTTGCAAATTTGCCAAGGAATATGTTTTGAAGAATGGGCCAATTGTAAGTATATGTTAGGATATTAATTCTATTTTTCCTGAAAAGCTATTTACAATTAGTTTTCTTAAGATTTTGGTAATATGTGGGATGCATCCCTCTACCTTATTTATCATTTTTACTTTCATGTCTGTCTTTAGATACTTGAGATGGACACTTATAGGTATCATGGACACTCAATGTCTGATCCTGGCAGCACTTACAGGACACGTGATGAGATTTCTGGAATTAGACAGGTAAAGAGCTAGCTTGGGAATTTGAAAAGATCTTAAATTTTCAGCTGGAGACTATGGAGAGTTACTTAGTAGTTTAAATGGATTTCCTCACAGGAACGTGACCCTATTGAGAGAGTCAGGAAGCTGATATTGGCTCATGATATTGCTGCAGAAAAGGAACTAAAGGTAATTGCCGTCTTAACTCTATGATGTTTCTTTAAAGTAAGCAGTTTTGTTGATTTTTGTTCTTGGGCTATATGTTAGAAGTACTGTTTCGGTGTGAATTTGTTAAGTGTTGACTATATACCTAGCCACCTTAAATTTTATCCATTTTTTGGATTGATATTGAGTTTTCTTTTGATTTTGATTTTTTCTTGTGATGATGCAGGATATTGAAAAGGAGGTCAGGAAAGAAGTGGATGACGCCATTGCTAAGGCTAAGGTAAAAAAATCTTTTTTCTATGTTATACTTCACATAATCATTATCGTATCATTGGTTTGTCGCAAGATTCACTGGTTCCTAAATTGCTATTTGCTGTTGCTAATTTGTGGTTTCAGGAGAGTCCCATGCCTGATAATTCTGAGCTTTTTACAAATATATACGTGAAAGGTTATGGAGTAGAGGTAAGTTTACAAATTTTGTTGAACCTACAATTTTTGTTTTTCCAGGTTTTGGTACCAAAAGTTATCAATAAACTCATCTTCCACAATTAATCTTCTAGTTAGGTTTGGGCATGCATATTAAGTATTTTGGTAGAGTGTGGACATGTGTATGTGTTAGGTTTCTTGCTGTATAATAGGGAGTCAAGAATAAAAATTTATTGAAAGATAGTTCATGGGTGAGAGGGCCCACATCACATGGGTTGAATGTATAAAGTTTCCATTATTAGTAATAGGAAGATGTTTTATGGACATCTAGAAAGAAATACATGAAGATTAATTGTGGACATAGGGAGTAGTTATATATTAAAGCTTTTGAAGGTTGTATAGTTTTCTCTTTGTAGCAAGTGCAAGCTCCAATTGAAGATGTGGGTTTGATTGCTTTTTACAGTTTACTCTGAATCTCTTAGGCTCTAAGATATTAGTGCATGGTTAGTATAGCTTCATAAATTCTGAAATAATCGTTAATTATGACCTGAAAGTGAGACTCGAGTTTCATTGGATATTATGTGGGTTTGGATCTGCAAAATTAGTGTCATGGTGTAAACCTAGCTGTCGCAGTGGGTATTAAAGCAGAGTAGACCTCTGAGAATCATCACTATATTTATCAATGACCTTTACACATAACAAAGTGTGCACCCTGTTTTACAAGCTGTGAAATTTATGTTCAGTTCAAGAGGATAGATTATTGTTTGTCATTTGGACAATATACGATGCAGGCCCTCCATTTTTTATTTGATTTGGGCTTATGCTGTATTTAATTGAGGGCAAATTTTATATATAACCCACGTTAATAATTGTTGGTAACATAGGGGCGATAGGGCTAAGATAACATTTTTAGCCAATTGCCAGATCTATTTATAGATTCTGAGTGGCAATCGGCACTTTAATTTGTGTGAGAACTGTTATTCTTACTAGGCAGGCATCGGTGTGGTGGTATGAGGAAGGAGGTTGATTAATGAGGGGAGAGGGAAGGCATGCCATGAAACTATTGATGAAGGTGAGATGATTGAAAATTGAAATTAAGATCTCCAGTGACCTTTTATATATATATATATATTAAAAAAAAAAAATATCCAAGATCACTAGTGACCTATTCAATATTGTATTCCCGTTTCTGCCAGGCCATTGCTTCAATCTGTCCATTTTCAGTTTGAGTTCATCAATCACAATTTCATTTCCTACAAATTTTAATTCGTATTCCTCAAGTAAATACAACCCACCAGAATGGCAGATGTTAGAAGTATTAATAGTATGCATTATAATGGCATACCACTTGTATAGCACTTACTCTGTTTTAAATATTTACATCATTTTAGACAATTTACTATAATGGCAGATGTTGGAAGTGTTAATAGTCTGAACTAGAGTTAAACTATACCTTATATTGTGGTTGATGTAGTTGGAAAAGCATTGGTGTGTCGTAGTTGCTTGAAACAGCCTGGGGTGAAAGAGCAAAAGGGGCAGGAAAAGGATTACAGTTTACATATGATCAGCGGTTGACAAAATTTTAACAGACCTAAATTGCGTATCATTGTTTCACCTTTGCAGCCCGTGCTACTGGATCTGTTTTATATTTTTTTTATCCCAGCACTTAAAAACTGTGAATTTATGATTTGTTGGCCTAGTGGCCTTGAATGCCCAACTTGTCAGTCCTTTGCTGTTTTAGAAGGTGGCTTCTGCCTTTGTGTTCCCTGCCTGATTTAAAATCACAGTTTTGCTACAATATGCTAACAATGCTGAGACTGCTGTTTAATTTCTGAATGTTATATCCCTAAAATATTTTCTGATTGCCGTGTGCTTTTCATCTTTTGCAGTCATTCGGTGCTGACAGAAAAGTACTTAGAACTGCTCTACCATGAGCCAAAGTAACATTTTGATGCGAGTCGTATGGAGATGAGATGGAAACTTGAAATAAAAGATTTTGACCCAATTTTTATAGGCTTGTGCTTTCTATTGTTGTATAGGTTTTTCTCGCTCCTACAAGTTAGGGCCACTGCCTTGTTGCAGTGGATGTGATACAGCTCTAAATTCGTCTCGTGTATTGATTAACGAAATTTCATGTGTGATTCAGGATCTAGTTGTGTTGCTTTGATCAGAGCTTTATACACAAGTCAATAATTTGACTTACATAAAGCGCTTTTTGTGCTTCACAAATCACAATATACAAATAACGCACCAAATTGTTGCTGAAAGCATCAAGGCCTTGGCTGATTATTGTTATTTTTTCTACCTTTGCTGATTTTTTGAAACATTAAATTTTTGTTAAAGAGTGTCTAGATGCTCAGTGTTGGGTATTCATTACCTGTTGTATCACTTGTATGCTTAAACTATTGTTGATGTTATTGGCTATGACATTGACCAAGTATTGAATTCAGAAATTTAGGCCATATATAAAATCAAGTGTGTCGAATTAGCCCAGATTACTTGTGAGTATAGATTGGGGTCATATTTCTGAGGCAATATTTGCCAACCACTGGGCGGCAAGAAAACAAGTATCATCTCTCTAACTTTGTTATCCTAGTCGTGCTAAACACGGTACCATGTATGTATATCAGTTTATATGCTCGATAATTGTAGTATAATTCAAAGGATTTTGCAAACAAGCATTTCGGGGCATTAGATAACCAATTAATATAAAACAAAGTACTTAAAATAGTATTAAGTTCGGAATGAATGACAAAATCACGTATCGATCGATGTAATTAATGTTAAATTTTACTTCAATGTTTCAAAAAAATGTAACGCCCCAGGATGCTCGTTAGCTTTTGCCTAATTCAAAAAATAATATCCTAACGATGATTAATTGTCGTATAATTCAAAAAATAATATTCCAAAGATAGTTATTATTCTTCCGCCGCGCTTGTATATATATGTTTGATAAATTGTAAAATAATTAACAAAATAATATTCCATAGATTATTATTTGGGATGAATATATTAATTTGGTGTTATAATACAGTATTAGCTCAGATTAGAACTCTAACTGTTATAAAGCTTACAAAAGAGCAAGCTCAAATATGTTTAACAGTAAAGTGATCCAGGCCCATGTTAATGAAAACCAGCCCAGCTCCATATTTCCGAGCTCGGCTGTAGCAGCTTGCCTGGCCTGCTGCATGTTTACCTTCTCTCATTGCCCAAGCTATGAACTGAAGTTTACTAATGATTTCAGTTATACACTCCTTTAATTCCATTAGAATTTATCCCATTTGATAGTATTTTATGATAGCGTTTTGAGTCAAATGGGGCAATTTATGTGAGACAGAGGGAGAAGGCACCATAAATCATGAACATCAGTTAAATAGAGAGTATTCAAGCCTTTTTTTAGTAAAAAAAATAACTTTATTTTTGTAAGAACTAGGTAAAGGGAGTAGGGCTTTCTTTTATAAAAAAAAACTTTAGAACTCAAGCTATATATTGGGAAGCTTAATTTAAACTTTATAGACTGTACTGCTCAAAGCATTCAACTTCATTTGGCCAAATACAAAGAATTTGAAGAACACGAAATCATCATACAATAAAAATAACAAAAACTTACCAATAGTTTTATCATATTTGCGACTCGTACATGTAAACATGATGCCCTCGAAACATGAAACGAAGATGTTGTAATCGTATCGGACACAAGATACTACTACTACTGCGGTACTTCCTACATGTTTTAGCATCTCCACGTGCATAAAATGGTCCAAATTTACATTCCATAAATAGTACTATAAATCACTATCTATATAAGATTATAGTGAATATTTTAAGGTTAAAATAGTAATGACTGACAGCATTACGTACACCCGTGCACTAATTGCTGATTTGCTTAGCTAATTCTAAAGTACTGCTGTAACTTTTAGGTTCATCCGTGCACTAATTACAGTAAATTACCACTGTAAATTTTTATTTAATATTTTTTCCCCCTTTTTGTTCTGAGTTTTACAGTAGGATTAAATGTGAATAAATAAGGTGGAACTTTGTAGTTTATCCCACACTTTTATGGTAGTTGCAGAGTATCCTAAGCAAGCAGCCCACAAGACCCACATTATTACCTACTTTGTCACCTTCCTCACCGGCCTTTATGGCCCAATATTTAATCACATTCTTAGTTAATGCGATTTATTTTTATTTTTTTTTGGTCTCGTGATTTTTTCTTTATTAGTTATAGATATGGTAGTGGACTTGTCAAAAGTCGACTTCCATAGTTTCATGCTCTCTAATTTCCGCAATAATTGACACATTTTTTTTTTGGGACACATTTTATTTTGTAGTGTTTGTTTCACTTTGAATAATTTTATCTCACAAAAAGATTTTTAAAGTGAAGAATAATATAAAATGGAACTAGTATCATATATTTGTATGATATTAATGACATAGATTGAGTTACTAAAAAAAACCTTCTTCTTTTTAAAGAACCACTTAATTAATTTTAGAAAATGATATGGGTTGCTTTTAGGAAGATAAATAAGAAAAGACATAAGAAAATAATAATTCAAATATAAAATTAATTACACTGATTGACACATAATTTCATTCCTCCCCATTAAATTTCGAATTTTAAATTGTTTGTAGTTTAACATGAAGTGCTCCGTAATACTTGCCAATTATGCTTAGGATATAACCACACTCTAATATCAATTGTTAAGGATTAATCCAACTATTAGGTTGAATTGGTGAAAGCACACTACACACAAATATGAGAGAACACTATAATATACTTTGTCGTGGTCCTTACTATGGAATAACATAGCTATTTTAAGAAGAAAAAAAAGATTTGACTATATATACTTGAATTGATATTTTATATAATGAAAGTTGTATCATTAAACTTATGATATTGCCCGTATTGGTATGTACTACTCCATATAACATAAACCCACTTACAAAAAAGATAACCTCCACTACTATGCAATGGTCCTTCCAAGTTCCATGGTATATTTTCAGTTCTTTTTTAAGAGTCTACTTCATCCCCATCATAGTTCTCTTTTGAAAATAGTATTGTTTGCTAGGTAATAAGCGGGCCGGGTCTAGGGTAGGGCCTTATTATATAGGGTGCTCCTCCAATTAAGAGCCACACTTTGAGAATTGAAGTGGAAGTCGAGTTCATGATCTTCGTATCACCAACTTTTTTATATTCACATTTGTTAATGTAGGACAACATTGAAACAAATTTAATAAGATTTTATGTGACTAGGAAATACACTACATGTTTCCTTAAATATAAACCATAAAAGACAATCTAAAATTAGTTTGCAAGCAGTCTTAAAATCAAAACATGTCAACCGGAAAAACTCCAAATGTACTCTAAAGCCTCCGTGTAGATATTTTAACACATAGGCACGCAGTATTATGCATAGATAAACTGATTAAAAACACAGGCTGGGGTCTCAAACATACAGGCTGGTGTGGGACGTGAAAGTATCCAACATTACATACACTATATGACTATATATATAGCAACACTTTTGTTTTTATGTTTTTGCCAGTGCTACACTTTCTATAAAACTTCTCTCATCCTCAGCTCTTAATAACCAAACAAAACACAAAAAAGACAGCTTATATTGCCTAATTAATGACCTGAACTCATTGCCAACTGTGCTATAGTACTTTCAAAATATTCCACTATTTATACGGCTATACTATTTTCAGTACTCAAAATTGGGGCTCAATTGATCCATTAATAATACGTAGTAGTAATAACGAAATGCGAACTCAGTTTCATATTTTTCGTAACTTTGAGTATTATTTGTGAGATATAAAATATTTCAAAGTTGCAAAAAATATGAAACGAAGATAGTACTATGTACGAGTATCTTTTGAAACAATAAACGCGTTATGCTCTTATGCACTTATGTATGCTGTAATGGTCCTAAGGCTTTGTTACGTTCATTGCGTTTTTACTAATATTAAGAAAACAAGTTTAAATTATTAATTTTAAATAAAATGAGTTATATGATAAACGATCTATCAATAATGACTTTTAAAGTTATGATTAGTTTTAATAAGTGAAAATTAGACGATTAAAAACACTATAAGACTTTATGTATAGAATAGTAAAAGTATTAGAATTCCAGGTACACCTAAATGTGGTTTAGTTACTTGCTAAAGTCGAGATAATTCATACTAGTAAACATAAGATACTAGTAAACATAAGATCAAACCTCGTTTATTACTGGGTATATCTTAAGTGCCCCTTAATTAATCTTCCATATGCATCAATCATGTAATGAACTGTTACATCAAGAACCCCGAATCCTATGTACAAGTATATTTGCAAATAAAGGATAAAAGGAATACTTAACCCATACTCAAAGTTACGTTATACCAGCATATATAATAAATTAAATATTGCCAAATGATTTATCATTTGGTAATTTATTAATTTTTTCTCTAAAATGATAGGGAGAAATTTTTATAAAAATGTGAGGTGGAAGGTAAAGGTCAGAATAAATTTGGCGAAAGAAAAGCCAAAAAGGGAGTTGGTGAATGGCAATCCAGCGAGGAAAAACCATTTAAATAATTAAATTGGTTGCTTCATTCATGAAGCTTCATAATTGAGAATTTATATAAAAGTTCTAAACTTCTAAAGTACTTGTACTATATATTATATGCAATCTACTTGAAGCTTTAGTTTCTACTAGTAGTCTATTTATACAATATTGTATAGATTTGTTTGCTTTTTGGGGTGGGGCATCTAATGATTTGTCATACAAATTAGTATGCTTCTTATTTTACTAGACCACATTTAATGATTTAAAGGCAATGATATACGGCTAGCTAAGGTAGATTATTGGTAGAATTAATAAAAGAATTAAAGATTGGGGTTAAGGAAGAATGTGGGTTGTCCCTGGTTTGCCTGTTGCCTCCATATATATGGCAATATGACTATCAATAATGTTGATTGATAATGCTTGTTGATGCGGTGTTGTAGAGCTCTCCTATCGCGTGCGGTTTAAATTCGAATCAACTATGGACGGGTTAGGTCACATCGAAATTGAATAATGTTGGGTCAGTATTATCATTATATGATCAATTAGGATCACTTTGTGTTACTCTAGATTTAGGTGAACTCAAATACTCATCATCTATCTTGGATTTGGAAAGGTTTTAGCTCATATAATTTTATTCTGAGTCAATCTTGTGTTTCTGCTATTGTCAAAAATAAAAAATAAAAAATCTTGTGTTCCATTTGAATCAGTTTGGGTTCAAGACGAATTATTCTTATTGATTTATTTTAAATTTAGATTTTTTATTACGATGTTTTCAAATTTGGGTCAAGTTTTGATTGCTTTATTGTTGGTCTATCAAATTTGTATAGACTTATCTAAATCTGGTGATATGATCTTATTCGAATATGAGTAATTAATTTATAAGATCCATAACCATGATAAGT